CCCTGGGTTCGATTCCTCAGCACCACATAAACAGAAAAGGCTGGAAGCAGCACTGTGGGTCAAGTGGTAGAGCGCTACCCTTGAGCCGAAGAGCTGAGGGACAGCACCCAGGCCCAGAGTTCAAGCCCCACGACCGACAAAAAAATAAAATAAAAATAAAGGCCTGCGTGTCAGGGCAGAGTGGAGGCTCAGGGTAGTTTTGCTATGGTTAGAGGCTAGCAGTGTGAGTATCTACTTTTCAGAAGGAACCCACATGAACTTTCACAAAAACTCTGTGTTCTCCATTTTGGTTTAGAATTTGAAAAAAAGCAAATCAAGCAAAGTATGTGTGAGAAAGTTCTTAGATGTTAGTTGCCACTTTCTGGGAAAGATTGGTTCAAGGCTGAATCCCAGAACCATTCTGGGAAGATGGCATGTGGCTGATCCTGCCAGAGAAGAGGCCAGGCTGATTTCTTGCCCTAAGAAGCTAAGGACAGGTTTCTGGGGTCAAGGGCCTCAAACAACCATCCCTCCACATTGAGACTGCAGCATGCATGCATGTGCGCGCGCATGTGTGTGTGTGTGTGTGTGTGTGTGTGTGTGTGTATACAAGTTCAATGGGGTTTGAATTAAGAGCCTCTGGCTCTTGCTTGGTGCTTTCACCCAAGGCTAGTGCTTTACCACTTGAGACATAGCTCTACTTCTGCCTTTTTGGTGGTTAATTGGAGATAAGAGGCTCATGGACTTTTCTGCCTTAGGAGATCCTCAGATCTCAGCTTCCAAAGTAGCTAGGATTACAGGCCAACTCAAACTGTCTCTTGCTTGCCATAGCTCAGATTCCATTGTTCTCTAGCGTGTCCTCCCATTCCTTTCCCCGGCCTAGTCAGATAGACACTGGGGCTTCCAGCAAGGGACCGACCAGCTATCACCGCCCTGGGTATGGAGCAGTACACAATAATTCAGAGCAGAATGACATCTGCCATGTAAAGTGTCTACTGGGTCCTTGCAGGGTTGTGAAGTAGAGCAGGGACCTTGAAGACCTCAGGTAAGGGATAAAGCCTGATCAGTGTTGATCATAGATGCACCTGGAGATGAGCATAGTCATGGTCAGGGGGAAGCCCTAGAGGGTCTCCAAGCTTTCTCCTGAAGGCATCATGGGAATAAACCACTCTTTCTCCTTTACTACGTAAAGGGCTCTGAGAAAGTTCCCCAAGTTAGAGCTGCTTCAGCCTCGGCCAAGCAGACGCCTGCAAAATGGACTTCTCCAGTGACCCCTGGAAAGACAGGGGCCTTGGCTACCCAAGCCACGAAAGGAAGGCCTGAGCAGGATGCCAAGAGCAGCAGTGAGGAGGAGTCTGACAGTGATGAAGAGATGCCAGTAATCATTACCCCACTTCAGGTGAGGTCCGCAGGGAGTCCCCTGCAGCCCTGGGCTCCCAGGGTCCTCGCCCTGGGTAGTGCCATCTGTGCTATGAGGTGTACTCATCCCCAGCCTGTGGCTCACTCCCATTTCTCATGACAGGCAAAACCCTCAGTAAAGACAGCTCAGGTCAGAGCAGCCTCGGTGCCTACCAAGGAGTCTCCCCAGAAACGAGCACCTCCAGTGGCCCCTACAAAGATAGGACCTGCAGTGACCCAGACCCGGGTCCAGGTAGGAAAGCAGGAGGACTCAGACAGCAGCAGCGAAGAGGAGTCTGACAGTGAAGTGGAAGCACCAGCAGCTGTGAGCCCCGCTCAGGTGAGGCTGGGGAGATACCATACTCTGCCAAGAAGGGTCTTAGGAAGACTACAGTAATTCCTGTGGGAAGAAAAGGTAGAAGGACTTAGAACATTAATGCAAAGGAAGAGGATGGTAAAGGGGAGGCAACCCCAGCCCAAGTGAGGCCCATTCCAGATTTTTGCGCCCAGCATCAGACTCCCACAAAGGGGAGAGGGGCCCTAAGCCCTGGCTCCTTTGCACTGGGACTGGTGGCTGTCTTGGTCTCTGGTCTGGAAACATCCTTCCTTGAGCTCTCTCTCCCTATTTGTCTCACTCCAGGCACAACCCTCAGGGAAGAACCTCCCGATCAGACCTGCCTCAGATCCTGCCAAGGGTTCCTTGGGGAAAGGAACTGCCCCAGTGTCCCCTCAGAAGACAGGGCCCAGAACCACCCATGTCAAGGCTGAAAAGTCCAAGGAGGAAGACTCCGAGAGCAGCGAGGACTCCTCAGACAGTGAGGAAGAGGAGGCAGCGGCGGCAGTGGTGACTCGAGCTCAGGTGAGATGGGACAGAAGGCAGCTAGGTGGCCTTACCCTGGTTGCCCTCATGTCAGGCCAGCAGCAAGGAGTCTGCCCCTGGGTCAGGATGTGGGGAAGGACAGCGGGGGCCTGCACCCTAGAACAGATGGGGCTTCCAAATTTATGTACCTTCAGCTGTTTGCCTCCCTGTGGACAAAACCAGCTTTGAAAACCCAGATCAAGGCTTTTCCCTGGAGAGGTGCCCTTGTTACCCTAAGATCTGCCAGGTGGCCCCCATATAAGCTAGCACCCTAGCCCCCTGGATTGCAGGATGTGATTGCAGCCTGCCCTCATCTCTTGCTGTAAACTCATATCTCCAGAGGCCCTGGGAATGTCCTTTCAGAAGTGAGGAGGCAAAGGGCCAGGAGATTACTCCTGAATTTGCCCAGCCACCTCTGCACCAGTCTGCCTAGCTTCCCTAGGCTCCTGTAGACCCCCTCTTTTCCACTATTTATCCCAGGGAAAGTATATGGGGAAAGGACTCCCAAGGGAGAGCTGCCTCAGGACAGGGAATCACTCTAGCATGCCCTGGGAAGACGGGGCCTACAGTTGCCCAGTTCAGAGCAAAGGTTTCTGAAGACTCTGAGAGCAGCAAGAAAGAGTCCAGCTGTGAGGAGGCAGCTGTGGCCCCAGCACTGGTGAGGCCCTGAGGGAGGCAGGCCAGGCTACCACTCCTGCTGTTGGGTGTTCAGAAGCCTCTGGACAGCCTCCCTCTCCGCTTTTGTTTTCCACCCAGCCAAGCTCCAGGGTCTCCTCCATAGCCCTGTTGAGTTCACACACACGCTTTGCTCAGTCACTGCTAGGTACTGTCAGGGTACTGGTGCTCATGCCTGTAATCCTATCTACCAGGAGGCTGAGAATCTAAGGATCACGGTTTAAAGCCAGCCCAGGCAGGAAAGTCCCCTTGAGACTATTATCTCCAATTAACCACCAGAAAACTGGAAGTGGTGCTGTGACTCAAGTGGTAGAGCACTAGCCTTGAGCTGAAGAGCTGAGGGATGGTGCCCAGGCCTGGAGTTCAAGCCCCATGACAGACCAAAAAAGAAGGAAGGCCTACCAAGTAGCCATGTAAGTATGTGTAGGTTGTTCCACTGGATCAAAGTGTGCAGTGAGGCTTGCTGAATGAAACAGGTAGTCACCTAGGGCTTTTCAGGAAGACTGGTAGCCAATCCAGTTTGAAAGTCTCCCAGGAGGCAGAGACTAGGCAGAGAAGGAAGCCTGATTTGCCAGTGCCTGTGTGGTGTGTATGGCAGGGCCGGAAGCAGACTCTCTGGAGCTACCTAAAAGGTCTACCAGGGCTTTGATTGTTTTCTCTACCCTAGAAATGAGCTCTCCCACGTTGGGTGAGACTATGCACACGAGTCAGGGACCTATGTCTGATGATCTCTGGACCATTTATCCCCTGAGGAATGGCCCGGCTTGATGTGCAACAGCCAGGATTCAGACTTCCCACCCTGGGAGATCAAGAGAAAATGAAGATGTTGCCTCTCCCCATCTATCACTTGTTTACTACTTTAGTTACCACTTTCTTTTTTCAATAACCACTCAGACCTGGATTGATCCTTTTTTCCCCCTGTACTACAGAACATCTCTGTACTACAGAACATCTTTCTCAGGATCTTTGCTTCCCCATCTTGCTATTATCTTGTGACACCGTAGGTCACAGAAGATTCTTCTTCTGGGGTTTAAGCTGTGTAGTCTTACTGGGAAGACTTCCCTTCTTCTCAGACTGCAAACACATGCCAGGCCCAGCTCTGCAAAGGATGTCACTGTGTAGGTCACTGGAGTATTTGTCTTCCCACCTGAGCCACCCACCTCTACCTTGAGGAGGCTGTTTTATTTTTATTCTCTGAACCATGATTTATTTAGAAATGAGTTGTTTAATTTCCAGATAATCTAGGATTACCCAGGTGCCTTTCTATTGTTGATTTCTAATTTAGCTGCACTGTGGTTGGAGAACATGCTCTGTGGCTTTGGTCCTATTTTCCATTGGCTTATTGGATCAAGGTGGGCTTCATGACTTTGATTTTCTCCCATCTGTGAAAGAATGTGTCTATTTTCTGTCTCCTGAGCCCCTTAATGTAGCAAATGCTGTTCTGATGAGCTCTCAGCTGGAACGTTTGAGTCTTGACTTCACCTTGCAGATGAGAGGTGCTAGGGTGGGATGTCTTCTGGCACTAGCCATATGGCATCCCTGTGAGGCATGGCCTTGAGATGCTGCAGATTCTGCATGCCATCTCTCAGCAGCCGGCTTGCTATCTGATCCTGCAGAGTGCTTATTCCTCATAGTTCCCTCTTGGTTGTGCTTATCTCTCTTACCTGTATTCACTGAAGACTGTCAGGCATTACAGTTCTCTGGATATCACTTAAGATTACGTTTAAGCAGAAGAAAATTTGCAGTGTTTTTCTGTCTTGCTCTTAGCTCCTGCCTCATAGACTTAAGATAGCTGTCTGAATTCTAGCTGTTACCTTAGCATCCCATCCCAGAGGAGGGAGAAATGTATTTCTATCTTTATGGCTTTTAACTTAGATTGTCTTGACCTGAATTTAATGACATGGACATCAAACTAGAAGGGAGCCTAGAAACACCTTTATTCTGGGTAACTTCATTATAGTGGTGAATTTGAGCATATAGCATACCTGTTACTAGGTTTAAGTACTAAAACTCCTATTGAAGTCTCACAGTAATCCTACAGGTAGCTGGGCTCTAGTGGCTCACACCTGTCATCCTAGCCTCTCAGGAGGCTGATATCTTGAGGATCACAGTTTAAAGCCAGCCCAGGCAGGAAAGTTTACGAGACCATTATCTTTAGCTAACCAACAAAGAGCCAAAAGTGGAGTTATGCCTCAAGTGGTAGAGCTACAGCCTTGATCTCAAAAACTAAGAAACAGCACCTAGGGCCCTAAGTTCAAGTCTCTATACCAACACCAAAAAAAAAAAAAAATGCTATAGGTGAGCCTTGTTACTAGGCTCATGTTACAGAGGATGAAATGATCAGATGAGCTGGGAACATGGCTCAGTGGTAGAGTGCTTGCCTAGCATGTGTGAAGCCCTGGGTTCGATTCCTCAGCACCACATAAACAGAAAAGGCTGGAAGCAGCACTGTGGCTCAAGTGGTAGTGGTAACCTTGAGCAAAAGAAACTCAAGGACAGTGCCCAGGCCCTGAGTTCAAGCCCCAGGACTGGCCAAAAAAAAGAAATGATCAGATGATTTACTCCAGTTTACACAGTTGTTAGATGAAGGAGCCAGAATCCTAGCTTTAGTGTAGATCTGACTACAGAATGGGTGTTCTTGGCTCCCCAGATTGCTACTCTCACTTTATCTCTTCTCTAATTCCCTTCTGTTCCTCCAGACCAAGCCCTTGGGGAAAGCCTCTGAGGCCAAAGCCAGTCCAGCTTCCACAAAGGCACCTTCAGTCAAGGGGGTGGCTCCTGGGAAGGTGGCCACTACAGTTGCCCAAGCAAGACAGGTCACCCCAGCCAAGGTAAGTGGGGCAGAAGGGACCCCACCCCCAACAGTGACGTAGCTGGACCAGGCTATGTGTGGCCAGAGCAGCCTCATGATCACCCATCACACAATGCAGTGGGAGCTTAATCCAGAAGAACCACGCTTTCCCCTTCCTCCTCCAGTGCCTTTACCCCTCCCATTGTAGGAAAAGCCACCTGCAAGAGCCCCTCAGAATAGCACCATCACTCCAAGGGGTCAGGCACAGAAGGGGTCCATTGTAGAGGCAGAAGAGGACTCAGAGAGCAGCAGCAAGGAATCAGACAGCGAGGAGGAGGCAGCACCAGCCCAGGTAGGCCCAGGGAAAACCACAAGTGTGCCTTGGTCCCCCTTTCTGTAGGGCTCAGCTCCTGGCTCCTGCATACCCACCCTCTCGCTATTCCCTTTCACTCATTTTCACTGCAGACAAAGCCCTCAGCTAAGACAGCTCAGGTGAGCACTATCTCTGCCCCTACTAAAGAGTCCTCCAAGAAAGCCCCTCCAGCACTCACTGGGAAGACGGGGCCTGCAGCTGCCCCGGCCCAGGCTGGGAAGCCAGGGGAAGACTCCGACGACGACAGCAGCAGCGAGGAGTCTGATAGTGAGGAGGAGGCAGCACCAGCCCAGGTAGGCCCAGGGAGAGCTATACATGTTCCTTGGGCCCTCACTGTGTAGGGCCTAGCTTTTCCGGTTCTTGCTTACCTACCTTCCAGCTCTCTCTATTTCCTCATTTTCACTGCAGATAAAGCCCTCAGCTAAGACAGCTCAGGTCAGCACTATCTCAGCCCCTACTAAAGAGTCCTCCAAGAAAGCCCCTCCAGCATCCACTGGGAAGACAGGATCTGCAGCTGCCCAGGCCCAGACTGAGAAGCTAGAGGAAGACTCCAACAACAGCAGCAGCGAGGAGTCTGATAGTGAAGAGGAGACAGCACCAGCCCAGGTAGGCCCAGGGAAAGCTATATGTGTGCCTTGGGCCCCACTGTGTAGGGCCTACATTTTCTGGCTCTTGCCTACCCACCTTCCAGCTCTCTCTACCTCCTCATTTTCACTGCAGATAAAGCCCTCAGCTAAGTCAGCTCAGGTCAGCACCACTTCAGCCCCTACCAAGGGATCCTCAAAGAAAACAAGCCCTCCAGCACCCTCTGGGAAGACGGGGCCTGCAGCTGCCCATACCCAGACTGGGAAGCTAGAGGAAGATTCCGACAACAGCAGCAGCGAGGAGTCTGATAGTGAAGAGGAGACAGCACCAGCCCAGGTAGGCCCAGGGAAAGCTATATGTGTGCCTTGAGCACTCACTGTATAGGGCTCAGCTTTTCTAGTTCTTGCCTACCTACCTTGCAGCTCTCTCTACTTCCTCATTTTCACTACAGATAAAGCCCTCAGCTAAGACAGCTCAGGTGAGCACTATCTCAGTCCCTACTAAAGAGTCCTCCAAGAAAGCCCCTCCAGCACCCACTGGGAAGACGGGACCTGCAGCTGCCCAGGCCCAGACTGGGAAGCTAGAGGAAGACTCCGACAACAGCAGCGAGGAGTCACAGAGTGATGAGACGCCAGCAGCTGTGACCCCAGTCCAGGTGAGGCCTTCAAGCCACCACAACCTACATGTTATTTAAATTATGACTATAGGACCATATAGGAAGGAAGCACGGATGAATTTGGCCCCACTTCTGGCCTCCTTGTCTCAGGTGGAACCTGTAGCCCCTCACCTGGTCCGATAAAGGCCATCCTTGGCACCCCATAACCAGCGGGGCTTTGTCAGCACTAGGATGGAGCTGCCCCATGCAGTCAAGGCTAGCTCTTGCCAACTTCAATCATAACCTCCAAAGTTACCCCTGTTAGAATAAGAAATCTGGGACCACCATGCAGGGGCCTTAGGCTGTGAGGAGGTAGGGAACTCCTTCCTCTGGGCCCACAGAGGCAGGTGCTCCCAGGGGTCTGATCTAGCTTAGTGTGGCATCCAGGCAGTGGGAAGGAAGGAAGGGAAGAAGGAGAACCTCTTTTTGAGAAGTTTTCCTCTCCTCTGCCTACAGCAGGCAGCAGAACTGGCTATGTCCAGGGTGACAAATTCCAGTTGGACTCAAGCATGTAATGAATACAGTGATAAGTGGTGGAGGCGGCAGCTAGGGGAAACGAGGTGGATAGTGGCTTTCAGGTTCAGCCATTTGAGACCTTATAGAAATGTGTCCTTGTTATAGGTAGATCTTCCATTTCTTCTTTTTTTGTTTGTGATACAGGAGTTTAATACGTATTGGAGTTTGAACTCAGAGCCTTGTATTTGCTGGATAAAGGTGTTCTATAAGTTGATCATGCCTCCAGCTCTAGATCTTGCATTTCTAAAAGAAGCCAAAGTCCCTACCCCACACCAGACTCTACCCCCTCTTAGGTTTGTTCTGTTTTTTTCATACATAAATGTAAGCACTGAGAATGGAGATGCAGGCTGGGGGTGCAGCTCGGTGATGATGCTGAGATTGAAGGAAAGCTGGGTATTCACAAGACCCAGGTGGAGATAAGCACCTCACAGAGCAGTGTGTACACATGGGTTGGCGGTGGTCAGCACAGGCAGCATCCTGCTGGTTGCACACTACTGGAAGCTATATTTTTTTTTGTCGGTTGTGGGGCTTGAACTCTGTGCCTGGGCGCTGTCCCTCAGCTCTTCAGCTCAAAGTGAGCACTCTTATCACTTGAGCCACAATGCCACTTCCAATTTTCCTGGTTTACTGGAGATAAGAGTCACATGGACTTTCCTGCCAGAGCTGGCTTTAAACCGTGATCCTCAGATCTTGGCCTGAGTAGCTAGGATTGCAGGCATGAGCCCCTGCCGCCGAGCTACTAGTGGAAATGTTAAGGGCATAAATTCCAGACTGAGCCATGTGCTCAATCTGGATAGCTGTTATGTTAAGGTTTCAGTGGGGTGCTATATCAGAAAGTACCACAGTATGGAGGATACAGGTGGGCAGAGCAGAGTACCAGGCCCAGAGGTTGGCTACTGCAAAGACTAGTCCTTCAGCAGCCTGGCATCCATGGTAACCTGGATTTCTTCCATCTCTCAGCTCCACCCACTTTAGTAACCATAGAACTATAGCACTACCTTACAGGCCTTTCCATATCTCAGGCTGGAATTCCCTGCCCCTCCTCCAGAGCATGTGAGAAACACCAGAATAGGTCTGGGAATATGAAAGAAAGGAAGGTTGCAGGGCAGAGTTGTTGGGGGTTGGTCAACAGTGTACATTGTGGTTGCCCAATTAAAAATTAGGAAATGAAGCCAGGTGCTCACGCCAGTAATCATGGCTACTCAGAAGGCTGAGATCTGAGGATCACAGTGAAGCCAGCTCTGGCAGGAAAGTCTGTGAAACTGTTATCTCCAATAAACTAAAATGCCAGAAGTAGAGCTGTGGCTGAAGTGGTAGAGTGTTCAAGCCCCAGGATCAGCATATACTCACACATACAAACACACACACGCTCAGAAATAAGTCTGGCAAGTGGCTCACACCTATAATCCCAGCTACTTGGGAAGCTGAGATTGGAAGGATGTCAGAGTAAAAAAGTTTACAAGAACCTTTCTGAACCAATAGCTGGGCACAGTGGCACATACCTGTCATCCTAGCTGAAATCGGGAGGATTACATTTCCAGGCCAGCCTGGGCAGAAAAAAAATCTGTGAAACTCCATCACGATGAAATAGGCTGGTGTGGTAGCACATGCCTTTTCTCCCAGCTCTGATGGGCAGATCCTGGTTCAAGTGCATTCCTGGCTAGGAAGGAAGACCCTTATCAAAAGTAGCCGCCGCCTCTAAAAAGGGCTAGAAGTATGGCTCAGCAGTAAAATGTCTAACTAGCAAGCACAAAGCTGGTACCACAAAAAAAAAAGAAGTTTTTAAAAATAGAAATGACATGTACAGATTAGAATCAGAAAGCCAAGTGGGGGTGTGTTTCCATTGGCTGTGGTCATGATAGGCAGCATGCTCACTGGTTGCACTTCCTCAGCTAACGTTCCCCCGTCATATTCTGTTGAATCTTGTCTTCTCTGAAGGATGGTACTTCAAACACTGCCAAAAGCAAGACGCTGACCTCAGCCCCCACGCAGGACACAGAGGAGTCCACAGATAGCAGTGATGAGGAGCTACCGTGCAGCCAGGTAGGCTGTGCCTTCTCCAGACACGGCTCAGAGTCAAGCTAGGGGCTCAGAGAGGGCAGGGGGAGATCTTCCTCGGAGGAATCTCAATATTCAAGACCGCATTCCACAATTCTGGAGCTCTTTACTCTCTCAGCACACTGGTCTGCGTAGTTGACCATTGGGGCAGGGTCAAGCCCATCTCCACACCCCAACTCCTCCATCCTGGGCCAGCCTCCTCCACACTGGGGTGTTTGAGCTGTAAAGTAGGGTCACTGTGGTGTTTATGTATGGATTTAAGCATCTCAGATCCTGTCACTGTCCTCACCTGAGCAGGAGTGCCTGTTGTCAGGAGCCAGCTGATATTGCCCATTTGAAGGTCAGGCTTGAGCTCTGTGTGTGAACTGAAGTGACATGCTGAGGGAGCACACACACTGCTCCCAGATCCCTATGTCTTCCTGTTTCCTGTTGGGGATCAAGAGGCTTCACTGTGGGCCTCGCCTGAGATTGTGCCTGAGTATCCGAGGCACCTCAAAGGTTCTGCCACTCTCCTAGTTCTGGGTCCCTAAAGGTGTGGTCAAGACTGCCTTTGCTCTGCCTTCAGAGGCTCATCTCTTGTGTGGCATGCAGTGTTGGTGAACCTAGGCCTTTCTGGTAAGAACAACCTCCTCAGTCCTCAGCCCTTTGGCTAGACCCTCACATGGTGCTGGCATCTTGTAGCCCCACACTTGCAGGGGTTTTTCCCATCACCTCCACCATGTGTGCCATGTTCTTGTCAGTCCATCAAGCAGGTCCAGTGCTGCTCGTGTACCCAGGGTTGGTGCACTCAAATGCCCATCTCAGTAGCGCAAGCTACAGAGGATGATGAACACACTCCCTAGGTGCCAAGCACTGTGTTGAGCCCAGAGAACCTGTGGGAACCTCCTTTTTTTGTTCTTGTTCTGAGGAGTGAGGTTCAGAGAAGAGGAGAGTTCTGCCCCAGCACCTTTTTGAACCCAGTCAGGATGCATACACTCATCCCTGCCTTGCTGCCTTTACACTCCCTCTCTGGGGCTCAGCCTTTGTCTTTGCCTTCCTGCTCTCTGTGGAATCCTAATCAGGCACCTTCTGAGGTGTTCCACACAGCTGGAAGGGAGAGGGGTGCTGCCTCACCTTTCTCTGTGGGGGCGGGTTAACACAATTAAAAGGAACACCATGCTTAAGCTGAACCAGTCAATTGCTGCACTAGTACTGAGTCCCTATTTTAAAAAAGAAAGTTTTTAAACAGTTGGGAAAAAAGCCAGCAGCTAGAATTCTCCAGGGAGGATTCAGGGAAGAGGGGTAGAGCTTGAGACTGTCCTCTCCTAACTGGAGGAGTTCTAGCTCCTCAGTGCCCACCTCCGTAATTGTGATCGCTGTCATTATTATCCAGCATTTCTCTACTGACAAAATTTCTCTCTCAATGTGTAGCCCATGCTAGCCTGGGTTTTTGACCCACCTACCTTAGTCTCCTGTGCCATTTTCCTCATTAGCCCATGAGTGGGAGAAAGGGCTGGGTGTCGGGGTGGTCGTTGAGTCCCTGGCTGCAGGGCATGAATAGACACTGGCTCAGGCCAGAGTACTTTGCAAACTGGAGTGGATTAGGAAATATATATATTATAATGCTTATATATCTATCAACAATTAGTACAATATATCATCACTATGTCTGAAACCACAAATACATAGTTTTTAATTATTTTAAAGTCCCCCTTATATCACTGCCCAAACCAAAAGCCCTCCCAGTTTGAGATTGCATCTGAAAGAAGAGAGAAATAGTAAGAAAACAAACCGAGGATTGACAGTCAGGGCCTTCAGCACCACCTGAACACCGTGCAACCCTTTCTAGAAAGAGGCACCATGGATGGCAGGGGTGTCGTGGATCCCTTCTGGGTCCTCAGTGCCTGGAGCCCACAGGGAAGAAGCCAAAGGCTCGCTGATTGGCTCGACTGCTTCAATTCTAGATAGAGGTGCACCCCTATGTGCTGTTTCCCCTGCATCGAGCAGGCCCAGGGAGGAATTTTTGGTGGCCCTTCCAACAGTTGGGAAACTGAGACTCCAGGAGTCAGAGGGCGTAACCACAAAGCAATCGTGACAGAGGTGGGAACAAAAGTGAGGCGACACAGCCTATAGACCTGATCATTGCTCCCTGCAGCCCCTCTTCCCCTACCCCTGTCCCAGCCCACCCTCTATATCCAGGCCCCCGCATCAGCTCCCTGCTACTGCCCTGCGGCTGGGATAGGGTGGCGTGGGCAGGTGGAGTGAGGAGGAGGCTTGTGCTGCTGAGCTGCTTTTAACATCCTGAGACGCTATTGTTTGCCTCAGTGGGTTCGCTGCCTCTCTTGGTCCCCGACAATCTGTTCCTCTGTCTTCTCTCATATATATAGATCCTCTCCCTCCACTGCAAGCCTTCTCCCACTTTCCATCCTTCTCCTTCTCATCTCGTGGGAAGAAAGGCTCTGGAAGTAGCAGATCAGAGTGGCTGTGGGGGAGGCTATTTGGCAGGGGTAGGAAGGGCCTAAGCCCAACAGAGCCTCCACCCCCCAATGGGTAGTGTTCTGCTTTGCTTTATTGCTTTACCTTTCTTTCCATAGCCCTTGGGGATGATGGATACCCAGGAGGTGGCTAGAGCAAAGTGGCAGAGACCTAGCCCTGATTGCCTCCAGGTTCTTAGGCAGCCCTCCTGTCTTTTGTCCCTTCCCCCCCACACACACACACACACTGGCCAGGAAGTGAATAGACTTCAGCCAGCTCTGGCATTTTAGGGGTAGAGCCCCCCTGGCTCAGTAGAGCTACACGTGGGTCTCACTAGCTGGGAGATTGGAGAAGGAAACAGTCCTGTAATCCTCTGGGATGTAGTGTTACATTCCAGACAAAGGGGTTCCTAGCCAGATGAATTTGTCCAATGATAAGGAGCTACTCTTGCTCCTTTCCTTTTCTCTTACCAGTAAGAATTGGGAAGTACAAAGAACTTCTCAAGATCAAATGATACTGGGCATTATGGTGGACACCTGTAATCCCAGTGCTCAGAGGGCTGAGGCAGGAGGATCACAAATTTAAGGCCAGTCTGAGCTCCATAGGGACCCTATCTTTTTTTATCTTTTGGCAATCATGGGGCTTGAACTCTGGGCCTGAATGCTGTCCCTCAGCTCTTGAGCTCAAATTAGTGCTCTACCACTGGAGCCACTGGGTCACTTCTGGTTTTCTGAGTGGTTTATTGGAGATAAGAGTCTCGGGACCCTTCCTGCCGGGTTACTTTGAACTACAATCCTCAGGTCTCAGCCTCCTGAGTAGCTAGGATTACAGGCATGAGCCACCAGCGTCCGGCATTAGAGACCCTATCTTTTTTTGTGGGGGGGAAAGGGGGAATGGGAATGTGGCTTACTGGTGGAGTGCTTGCCTAGCATGCATGAAGCCCTAGGTTCGATTCCTCAGTACCACATAAACAGAAAAAGCCGGAAGTGACTCAAGTGGTAGAGTGCTAGCCTTGAGCAAAATAAGCTCAGGTACAGCACCTGAGGTGAAGTCCCAAGACTGGTTTTAAAAAAAAAAAAAAGATAATACAAAGAATCTAGACAGGTGCCTGTGGCTTATACCTATAATCCTAGTTACTCCAGAGGCTGAGATCTGAAGATCATAGTTCAAAGCCAGCCTGGGCAGGAAAGTCCATGCGACTCTTATCTCAAATTAATCACAAGAAAACCGGAAGGGGCCCTGTGGCTCAAGTGGTAGAGTGCTCGCCTTGAGCTGAATACAGCTCAGGGATAGTGCCCAGCCCGAGTTCAAGCCCCACAACCCACCAAAAAAAAAAAAATCTATACCCTATTCCTAGCCTCCTCAGTCACATATTACTGAGTAGGCTTGTTACATATACACCCTACCCTCACATCCCCAGCATTCTTGGCTTGCTTTGAAGCTGATCTTAGATCTTCCATTTCATCCACCAAGATTGCACTTTGCACCTTGACCCAAAATGGTAAGGACTCTTTTTTTTTATTGTTATTCTTTTTAAAATTTTAATCATAACCACAATAATATAATATCACACCTAAAATAATGGCAGTCTTATTTCCCCAGTTATCTCATGAATGCTATTTTTATATCTAATGTATTTAAATAGTAAGAGTCCAAATCAGGGTCATGCACTGTGTTTGTTTACTGAGCCCTTCAGTCTTAATCTATGGGTTCTTCCCTGTTTGCTTGTGTTGAAGAAACCAGGTTAGTGGGGCTGAATGCCGCCTCCAAGTCTCGAGTAGGGCAGTGAAACTGCAAACACCTCCCCAGGGAAGTCCTACCTTACAGCCAGACTGCTGATTTTACAGCCCCTCATTAGGGGACCATCAATAAAATCAGCCAGAAGAAAGAAAATTAAATTGGCATTCTGATCATGGCCTTGCTTCTAGAAGGCCATGTGACCTTGGCACCTCTCTCCTCTCTGGACTTGTTTGTGGCTTTGACACCTATCTCTTCAGTAGAGATGACCCTGCTGCTCTCGGGTGCTTAGCATGGGGGTCAGTTGGGCTTCTGGGAGCTATGAGGTGGTGTACTAGATCTTGGCAGGTACCTAGGGTGGAAAGGGATGGAGAGGGCCAGCTAGAAAGACCTCTGCCTAGGTGTTCCTGAGGTCCTCTACCCACTTCCCCTTGTTTTGGCCAAGCCTTTAATCACTGGGGGGTGTTTTGTTTTTGTTTTTCAAGGTGATTAAACCCCCTCTGATTTTTGTCGACCCTAATCGTAGTCCAGCTGGCCCAGCTGCTACCCCCACACAATCCCGGGCCGCAAGCACCCCAAGGAAGACCCGGGCCTCGGACAGCTCCACCGAATGTTCTTCCTCCGAGAGTGAGGACGATGACAATGTGATCCCTGCCACACAGTCCTCCACTGGTGAGCCAGGTCACAGCGCCTCTTGTGACAGCCTTGCTGCTCCTGCCAGGCTCAGCTGGGAAGGGCTGCCGCCACTGCTGCCCCTTGAGATGAGACAGAACAGGCCTCTGGCTGAGTGGCCTAGCACAGTGCCACGGGGGCCAGGGCTCAGGGTTCTACAGGAGCATTCTGATGGGGGCTGACTGAGACCTTGTTCTGGAAGATTTGGGTCTCTGCCAGCTCCAAGCATGGAGTCCAGCACAGTATCTGGAGGCTGCAGGGACTAGAACCCTAGAGTCTAAGGAAGAACATATAACTGGCTAGGGGCATGTGAAGAGAATTAGGCTGATCCTAAGCCGAGATATTGCAGGGGGAATTCATCCATCAGCACAAGAACCAAGCCAGGCACCAGTGGCTCATGCCTCTAATCAGTCTTAGCTACCATGACCTAGAGGATCATGGTGCAGAGCCAGCCTCTTAAAAATAACCCATAAAAAGCAGGACTGGTGGCATAGCTCAAGTGGTAGAGCACCAGCCAAGCAAGTGCAAGGCCCTGATTTTAAAGCACAGTACTGTGGAGGGAGGGTGAGAGGGAAAGTTCCGAGATTCTTACACTGTCAATAATAGCAAAAAGTTGTTGGTATTGCTCTTATTATAACATGTTAATCAAGAACTAGTGCTTGAAGATGAGAAATACAGCCAGGCACTGGTGGCTCACGCCTATAATCCTACTACTCAGGAGGCTGAGATCTGAGAATCACTGTTCAAAGCCAGCCCAGGCAGGAAAGTCCATGAGACTCTGTCTCCAGTTAACCACTAGAAAATTAGAAGTGGCACCGGTACTGTAGCTCAAGTAGTAGAGCACTAGCTTTGAGCAAAAGAGCTCAGGGACAGCACCCTAGCCCTTAGTTCAAGCCTCACAACAACCAAGAGAAAAGAAAAGAAAGGGTCACCAAAGAAAAAATACTATAATCCCCTTCCTTCATATAATGCTGCTGACAATTATACTCACTGACTTTCATGAAAATATAAGATACACTTGGGTGTTTTTACATTGAGCTCGTCCTGCACCCAGTACCCTGTCCTCATCAACAGATGTATTGGAGTACTGTTGAGCACACGTATTAGAACACTGGAGGTTTCGTGTTACACATTTGAAACGTGAATCCTATTGGCTGCAAAGTAGTACCATAGTTCATTCAGCCAGTACTGCTACTGCATTGGAGACATGAAGAGTCTTTTAGGGCTGTGACAGGGGATGTGTCCAACCCTGTGCACCTCTCCCTGCTGGTTCTTAGAAAGGATGTCTGAACTGAGAGGAGTGTGGCACTTGTGGCATGTGGCTCAGGAGTGCTGGCCTGCCCTGCTGAGAAGAGAGGTGCTGAGAAGACCTGGAACCATTTGTTATCCCTGAGCCTTACCAATTGATAAAGCAACAGCTCCTGCCTGGGAGCTTGGGGAGAGGGGTGAACCAGCTCTCCTGTGTGATCCCTGGGCATAGTACCAGGTCCCTGGTCAGGGCTGGTGATTGGGTAACACCCAGCTGGGGGGTCCAGGTCGCTTCTGTGTCCTGATGTGCTCCTCTCCTCCTTTCAGCTGGTGAAACCAAGGGGGAGACTATGCCTGCTGTTCCCACAAAGGCAGCTCCCAGAGTTGGCAGCAACAAGGAATCTAGTTGGGTACCAAAAGGCAAGAAACAGGAGGCGGCCACCACTCAGGTACAACAGCTAAGGGAGTGGTATGGGCCCCACTCTCCACTACCTTGGCAGGTGCCAGCGAATAGCACAGTGTTTGCTGCCACTGACAGTTACTGCCAGCTGGAGGCAGTCATTGTGGGCTTCAGGCCACTGCCCCGATGCCAGGCTTCCAAGCCAGCTTTACACTGTCAGGAGCAGCCGCCTGGGAACTCGCCCCAGGAGCCTGCTGCGCTTTGGGAGCACTTTCCCCCATCAGCTTTTCCAGTGTGCATGCTAGGTTTTGTGTTCTTCCCCCTCCCCCATAGCTTTGAAATGCCATGAGCAATAGTTGCCCTGTTTTAGCATTCAGTGCGTGTTCTTCCCAACTCTCCCTATTTTCACTGCATTTTTTTTTTGGCCCTTCCTAAATCTAAAACCAACAGAGTAAGTTAATAACCTATTGTTAATAAAACTGAGCACAGCCTGGCACTGGTGGCTCATGCCTATAATTCTAGCTACTCAGAAGAGTAAGATCAGAGGGTTGTGGTTTGAAGCCAGGTGGGCAGCAAAATCCACTAAACAATCAGAAAAGCCAGAAGTGGAGCTGTGGCCCAAGTGGTAGAGCGCTAGCCTTGAGCAAAAATAAGGTCAAGGACAGCACCCAGGCCCTGAGTTCAAGTCCCAGGACTAACACCAGGGGAAAAAAAACAAAACAGGATACCCCACCCAAGGCTTGGTCAGGATTAGACAAGGTCAGCACCCAGGTTCTAACTCCTATTCCATGCTCTCTGCCTTCTGAGTTTGTCCTCCCATCTCATGTAAAGGGAGGAGACCCCTGTATACCATTCCTTCTGAGCAAGCAGTGGTGCTGGGGAGTTGGGTATCTGTAGCTTGAAGGGACTGGTGTGCCACCCAGGTGCATGAACAGACTACAGCCCAAGAGCTTATGTAGTGTGGATGCTGAGTGGATTGCTTGACTGTGGTCACTGTACCCAGAAATTCCACATCTGCCCCTGCCAGGCACCATTTAGGAACAAGGCAGGGAGAATCGTTCCCTCATGGAGCTCCCAAGCCATTCATCAAGGAAAGCAGATATAAGTGGTCTTCACCAGCTGCTAGGTGCTGTGAAGGAAGTTAGCAGAGAAAAATGGGGTGACCTGCTTTAGGAAGGAGGGGCAGGGAATGTCCTGCACTTAGGAAGCCAGCAGGTACCAGAAACTCAGGGGACTCAAGTAGGGCGAGGGGACCTCACCAACAGGATGAGGTGGTAAGGGGCAGGGCCAGGCGGTGATAGGCTGTGTGGCATAGGAAGTCCCATGGGAGGCTTAGAAAGGTCATCCAGGTTCTTTACATGGCTGTTGGGGGACATAAGGGAGGGAGTACACATGCCCAGGAAAGGCACCAGCCGAGTGCTGGACTTCCAGTCTCTGCCCTGGCCCAGGAGCTCTCTCTGCTCTTTGAGAACATGGTGATTCATTATCTCCTGAGTCCTGTCACGTGTATTCTATTTTAAGTGGCAGTGTTGACCTTTGATTGCTCCTAAATCCTTACTCTATGCTGTCATGGCATAGGAGGTAGCATTCTAAGAACCCATGGTCTCAAGGTTGCCTGTCACTGTCCAAGTGACAAAGAAGAACCAGGCATCCCTCCCACTGACACAGGCCACCCTGAAGGTCCTGACCTAGAAAGCCAGTGAGGCTCAGTCTCCTTCCCGGACCTAGTCATCGAGTAGGGTGAGCTTGGGGAGATGAGGGAACCCAACTCACCCAGCTCTGCTCCGAGAGGTGTGGTTTACATTTCAGCTCCACCACATGGCCTGTGCTCTAGCACCAGTCCTTGCCTTTAGCTCTCTTGGCATCCTGTGTGCAGGAAGGAACTGGAGAGTGTTCACCTGAGAATGGTGGGAAGCCTCACACGAGGCCATTTGTGTGGAGCTTCCTGCATGGGGCCATCCCTGTTGTGCTGGGCAAACACCAGCCCCCTCTCACCTTGATTTCCCTTACACTCTTTTTGCCAATTTAGGTTGGTAATGCCGTGGGAGCTCTCCCTGTGACATCTCCCCAGAGCACCCCTGTCCAGGCCCAAGTGACCAAGAAGCTCAGAAAACCCAAGCTTCCCGGGGGCCAGCAGGCCACAAGCACTCCCTTGGGCTACCCCAAAGCCAAAACCCTCAAGAGCCCAGATAACAGCAATAATGGCAGCAGCACCTCTTCAGAGTGCAAGCAGGATGGTAAGGAACCCCAGATGGCCATGTTAGCCCCAAAGCCAGGTAGAGTTACTGGAGGAGAGAGGAGAGCATGAGATGTAGCCTGGTAAGAACTCTGGTCTCAGCTCTGTTTCCCAACCTCATCAGAGGACTTGATCACAACATCCCATACTGGGCTCCAGTTTACTCACTTTTACAACTCCATGAGGAAGTTCATCCAAATGATTCTGCCTTTGACCCACTGGCAGCTTAGTGGGTATTTTTGGCTCTCTTTATTGAATTCCCCCGGGTCCCTAGGGTACATATCCACCTTAGAGGTAACCAAAAGGCTTGGGAATTAGAAATGAAAACTGCCAGGTTCCGGTGCCTCATACCTGTAATTTCAGCTACTCAGGAGGTTAAAATCTGAAGATGTGGCTCAAAGCCAGTCTGGGCAGTAAGTCCATGAAATTCTTTTCTCCAACTAACCACCAAAAAAACCACAAGTGGAGCTGTGGCTCAAGTGATAGAGCACTAGTGGTGCTGAGGAATCAAACCCAGGGCTTCATGCTTGTAAGGCAAGCACTCTACCATTGAGCCACTGCTGTGGCTAGTGTTGATGGAGGCAATAGGAGGCTTGGGCAGAAGACTGGTGCAGCACAGGCCCACCTGTAACTCTTCGTGCCTGGCTGACAGGACCCCAGGACTCCCAACAGGAGACCTTTGCTTCTTTGGTAGGTTCAGCTCTGACCAAGAGAGAGACCCTGGTGGAGGAGACCACATCTGATTCCAGCGAGGATGAGATAGTAGCACCTTCACAGGTAACTTCCAGTAGGGGCTAGGACATCCTTCACCTGAGGCATCGTCCTCCCCACAAGGTCCACAGTAATTAACCTTCCTTCCAGTCTGTGGAAAGATTTACCTTGACACTAAGTCATGCCCAAACAGAAACATGCCTTAACAGAACTCTTCTTTGGTTACTCCCAACTCTAGTGATTTTCCATTTGCATCAGTAATGAGAAATTTCCTTTTCAAAGAAAAAAAAAAGAAATTTCCTTTTCAAATGTGCCTAAAATAAGTACTAATGAAAATGGTTCAGGAGGCACATTTGCAGGGCTAAGCCCCTCTCCGGTGTCAGTGCCGCCTGCTTTGCATGGACAGGGTCAGCTTGATCCAGAGCCTCCAGGGCTGCTTTCCTCACCACAGGCCATGAGTATGTATCGGGCCCCGGATGGGCGGGCCCACAGCCTCTTTTACACTGGGCTTCTTCAGTCTCTCCTCTCAGGTTATGCGAGTCCCGGGCTGACCCTGGCCAATTCCCAAGCTTCAAAGGCCACTCCTAAGCCAGACCCAAATCCCTCCATTCCCTCTGCTTTGGCCAAAGATGACCCAGATGGGAAGCCGGAAGCAGACTCCCAACACACAGCAGGCATCATGTCCCCTAAAGCAGGTGAGTCAAGGGCAACAGGACCGAGAACAAGGCCATGGGCCACCGTGTCCCATCCATAAGGTCCTTTATGGGAGTTGGATTCTGGGGATCCAGTTTTGTCCAGCCCCAGAAAGCTGGTGCAGCTGTGAGTGATTATAGAACAATTGTCTTAGACTTGTGGAGTAGGCCTTGACTTTCTCCAGCAATCCCAGCTGACTTCCTCACAAATAGACTCACAGTGTAGAAGTCAAGATTCAGAGGTAACAAATCTCAGGAGATCCTGGTCAATGGACTGACCCCAGGGCTGCTTTGACTTACTTTGAAGCCTGAACAAGCCTCTGGCCACCCTGGACCCCTGTGTCCTAACCATGAGTCAGGGGGCTACGTTAGGTCATATCAAGGCATGGTGCTCAGAAAATAGGCAAATGGCATGGGGAGGTGGTGGGAGCAGGCACTGTCAAGTTCTCTGCATGGCCCCCAGCCTCATGTGGCATGGAGTGCCCATTTGGACTCTTGAGGTGAGCACCTCCACATCCCAACCTGAGCCCCTTGTAGGGCCCACCATTAGAAGCTTCATGTAGCCCTGAAAAGGGGGGTGACCATCCCAGGTGACCTGGGAAGTGAAGCAGTGGCAGCCCCAGTATCAGCTGCAGCTTCCCTGCTCGGAGCCAGGGGTGGAATCATTGCTCACTTTCTTCACCATCTTTTTTCTTTACATGAGAGGCGGGTGTGACAAGGAGACATTTTAGAGGGGGCTGTGGAAGGTTTTTTTTTTTTTTTTTACACGTGTAGTCAGCACACAATTATCAAAGGCAAGCAGAGGCGTGGAAAATTCTAAACAAAGGCAGCACCAGAAGTCACTCTGGCAGGCAGTAAACCTGCTTAGTCAGACACCACGTGTGTGCACAGCACACCCCAGCCCAGCACTCCCCCGGGCTGCTGGGAGCCCTGGTCAGGAAGGGCAAGGACTCACTGTGCATCAAAGCTGATGAGCTGAATGTCTGAGTCTGTGGCTTATAATAAGGGACCTCAGTATTTATCTAGCTCCTCAGTTCACGCTCAAAGACAAAGCCCCCAAGAAGAGCTAGTACCTGACTGTTATCCCAGTAAGGTGGGATACCACATCAAGCCTGTCTCCTGTCTCCCAGTACTGCCAGCAGGAATTCCTCCTCCTGTCTGACCTGGCATCTCCCTGTTGGGTGCAGGCCTCTAGTTTAACATCCTTTATCCATTCTCCATCCTCATCTGGAACTTGAGTGGGGTATTGGCATGAAGACAAAGACAAAGAAGAGCTTTAAGTTAGGAGTAAGGTCTGAGGTGTTGTGAATTGAGATCAGAGAGGACCCTTACTCGCCCCATCTGTTCTGTTGTTAGAGAAATAGTCTTCCCTGTCACCCCCTCAGCTTGTAGATCTGTCTCCCAACTCGCAGACTTGTGACCCCAGGCCTCTCCGCAGGTAGAAAAGATGCTGCCTCAGGCATACCTCGGAAGCCCCGGAAGCCCAAGAAGGGAGCCATGGGCTTGGCAGCATCCACGCAGGCGCTTCAGAGCAGCATCACCCAGCACCTGCTGGGCCAGCCCTGGCCCCTGAGTGAGGCTCAGGTGCAGGCGTCAGTGGTGAAGGTCCTGACACAGCTGCTAGAGCAAGAAAGGAAGAAGGTCACAGACACCACTAAAGAGAGTAGCAAGAAGAGCCGGAAGCGGAAGTTGTCAGGGGACCAGTCAGCCTCCGGGCCCCCCAAGAGCAAGAAGAAGCAGTCAACAGCTGGAGAAGGTGGAGAGGGTACTGTTTCCCCAGAAAAGATCTCCAGGACTTCCAAAAAGAAAGCAAAGAAGGACAAAGGGAGTGGTGACATCAAAGAGAAGAAGGGGAAGGGACCTCCTGGCTCCCCAGGGGCCAAAGACAAGCTTGAAGGGAAGCTGGGGATGGTGAAGGCTGAGGGTGATGATGAAATGAACTCAAAGAGCAAGAAAGAAAAGAAGAAATCCAATAAGAGTAAGTGACATCACATCCCCTGGTGCGCACTGAGGGCGGCTAGGGACCACATTCAGTGGCATGATCCCCATGCAGAATAAGAGACTCAGAGGTAGTTGTCTAGGGTCCTGGGGCAGCTAGTGGCAAAACCAAGAGTAGATGAGGGGCACCTAGGCCCACACTGTGTGCTCTGCCTCTGGAGCCCATTCAGCAATCACATCCACTTTCAGCCCTGGGCTCAAGGCTGGGGAAAAGTAGCTCCTCTGCCTCTAACCCAACGTAGCAAGCAAATCTTGGTGGTGCCTGCTTTTCCTTTCAGTTCTGTAGGTGCTGAATGGACCAGAACCCCTGACCAAGCCTCATCTTCTCTCTAGACTTGTTTCTCCTAAATAACAGCCTTTTACAGAGCTCTGTGGCTGTGCTAGAATCTACATGTAGTAGGACTTCTGACTTCCTTCTACCAGCCCTGTAACAGAAGTGGGTATTTCATTCTCATTTTCCATGTGGGAAAAGGCTCAGAGGAGAAAAGCTGCTTTTACTAGGCAGAGCCATCCCCTAACCTAGTCCTCCTGAGCACTGCTCTGAGTTTGCCAAGGCAGGTATGCCTATAGATGCCTGGTGCCTAATTGCTGCAGAGCACAGAGCCTAGCTGCTGGGGCCACCCTCACAGTGGGGCTGCCATCACCCCTTGGCATACAGAACTTGACTGGATTCCCACTGTCATCTTTAAATGTGTTGAAGTTTTAGTGTGTGTGTGTGTGTGTGTGTGTGTGTGTGTGTGTGTGTACACACATGTATGTGCGTGTGTTGCGTGTATGCCTGTCCTGGGACTTGAACTTGGGTTTGGGTGCTGTCCCTGAGCTGCTTTTGCTCAAGGCTAGCACTCTGCCACTTGAGCCACAGCTCCACTTCTGGCATTTTTGATAGTTAATTGGCAATGAGTCTCTTCCTGCCCAGGCCAGCTTTGAACAGTGATCCTCAGATCTCAGCCTCCTGAGTAGCTAGTCTCCTGATGAACCACCAGCTCCTGACAAGAGAGTTTTCATTTAAAATTCAGCTGAGTTGGCCGGGCTCCGGTGGTTTCATGCCTCTGATCCTAGCAACTCAGGAGGCTCAGATCTGAGGATCGCTGTTCAAACCAGCCCAGGGAAGAGACTCGGTGAGACTCTTATCTCCAATAAATCACTCAGAAAACCAGAAGTGACACTGTGGGTCAAGCGGTAGAGTGCTAGCCTTGAGCTGAAGAGCTGAGGGACAGCGCCCATGCCCAGAGTTCAAGCCTCACGACTGGCAAAAAAAAAAAAACAGCTGATTTCCTGGACCTGGCGGAACACCTGTAATCCCAACCCTTGGGATAGAAGAATAAGCAATTCCAGGACAGCTTAGAACTACATAGTATGACCCCCCCAAAAAAAGGCTAAAGTTATGGCTCAGTGGTAGAGCACATGTCTCTTATGCTTCAGGCCCCACCACTTGGAGTTGGGTAGGAAGACTAAAGAAAAATAGAGGGGCTGGGAAGTTGGCTCAGTGGTAGA